TGCAAATTCTTCAAACTCATGGATATACTGGGAACAACATAATTATAATATGCAGTGATTGTACTAAAAGCCATTGATTGGGATTTCAAGAAACAGAATTAAGCTGTGATCCGAAAAAAGTCCCTCTCGATTGATCTACTTTATTCCACTATCTGTCTGCCATCTTCGATAGATGCCTACTCTCCCCAGGCTCCTAAGGCCGTGCTAACGCCAAGAAATTTGCATATCGAATCCCCACATTACCAAGGCTCCGCATATCCACGAGTAAAAAGGAGTCAGGTGACAAGTATATTTTTGCTCACTATACATTGCTCAACAACAAAAATAACGGATATCAAAAAGAAGTTAGGACCTGACTTATGGCTAATCATGAAGACACGACAAGCATAAAAACAGAAACAAAATTTGACACAAATGCAAATGTTGGGGCTATTACCATTTCTCATTAGTGGTACATACAACGATTAAAGTGTTTCATATTATTCCTTAATTTCTTACCAATGCTGTACAAAACGACTTTGGCCTGAAAACAAATAAAAACGGGGTATCTTGTGTTAGTAAGGAATATTGATAAAGGTATTTAAATCGCCACCACTACGTAACCAACGGGGTGTCTAAGATATCAAGTGATCCCCTCTTTGTCTAGGGAAAGTAATAAATTGTAACAATAAATGCCGATATCCCTCCCTCGTGACAACACCAGTAAGATGCTATTTCATCCCCTCCCCCCTGAGGCTGAGAAATCATGGGTACGCCCATGAAGTGCATAACAACTTACGATTCTTTCGGTGGTCATCTCAAACACGTAGCAATAAAAATTTTTTGCCATAGTACATGTTGTTTCCCTGAAATGAAACAAAACATTTTCTGGTTTCATTGTTTGAAGCAAAGAGCAAAATGTCCACGACAAATAATTTAGAAAAAAAAACGCTTATAAAACAGACCTTGTTCCATTTCGTCTAAATCTGAGAGTATTGAAGTCGGGGGAGAAACATTGATAAGCAAGTGAGCATGGCTCTTTGTGCAGAGAAAAGGCGCTTTTTTAGATACCTCATGCTTTTCAGAAGCCGTGAGACATACTGAAAATTATATCGGCAAACAGACCGAATAATATACAAATAGAGAGAAAAAGACAGTTCACAGGCATTTAACCAGAAAGACTGAGACTGTCAGTCAGTTGGACACACTGGGAGACCGAACGACAGTTAGACAGACGAGAAAAATAACTTCACATATAGTTACTTACCCTGACACGAAAGCAATCATTTCTTTTCTGTCTGCACGTCGACCACAAGACGAGGTTTCAGTAAATGAGTGTATTCCCAAAACCTAGGAGAAAAAGCTTTACCCCATGTGATGTCATCCAGTGAATGAAGTTGATTTTCTTAGAAATACATGTGAGTACTTCGAGAGTTTCATATGTCAACCATACATGCAACAGTTCATGATTCGAACCTTTGATGTCGCTTGGTCTGTGACCACAATATTTGTCTCGGTTAGGTTCAGGAAGACAGGCTGGAACAAAAATGAGAAGCATAAATTACAATTCTAAATCACAATTCTAAGAGCTTCCCTGAAGCATTAACACGACTTACAAATATCTATTGTAATGGGGCAGTTGGTATTTTTCCGACTGCGGAAATAAAGAACAGAGTTTAGAACAGTTAAGAAAAAAATTACCTTTGGTTTGTTGTTCTGTTTTAAAATGTCCAGAATAGAGTCTTCAATAACTGCAACACCTCCATCCTTTGATTGGAAAATCAGAAAATAAGAAGAAGGATCAGTGGGTTTTAGACATCTTTATATGAATCATTAAGTTTCCTCTTCTTCTGCATTCTACTCCCCCTTCCCCTCCCCCCCCCTCTCAGCCAAGTCAGCTTAGGACCGCTGGCAAGTTGGTTTTAGGTTTAGAACTGGTACAGCAATAGTCCACTTTGCAGTTGCATTGCGTGCTTGGTTACCAAGCCTTTGAACAGGAGTGAGGCTAAGGGTGACCTTGTTATTATAAAAACGTTGCTGCCTTTCAAATACAAATTATTTTGTTATGATGCTAACTAGATACTGGTCTCTACCACAACAACTTCACCTTCAGCCTCACTCCAAATCAAAGGCTTGGCAACCAAGTACACAGCTGTAAAAAGGCCTATTTTCAAATGAGTATCGACAGCAATCCAGTATTGTTCTAGTTTTGCTGTACTTTGCCTTTCGATCGGTCCAAAAGTGCGTCATCCTCGTAACTAATCAGATATCAAACGAAAACCAATCGTGACTTTGCCATCATTGATTTCCCGCGCTTTAAGCAACTTCCTTCTTTTCGCTTAGATATATCATTGCCCCCTTTTGAAAGTATTCTTCCAAAAGAAAAGCAACTTAAAAGAGAGAGAGATCTTGGCTTAGGAGTTAATCCCGCTATTGTCGGGTTTAGGTCGAGGAACGTGTGGATAAGATCAACAAGGTTGTATAAAAGAGTAAATTTCTAACGAAACTATGGTGCTCAGGGCTCGACACTAACTTTTCAACTTACTAGCCAAGTGGCTAGTGACATCTTAGATGTTTTTAGATGTTACGACAATTTCAGTTTGTCTACTTGCCAAACTGGCTAATGGAAATTGAAAACACTTAGTCAAAACTGAATTTTTTTACTAGGCTGCGGCTAATGGGCTACCGTTAGTGTCGAGCCCTGGGTGTTGCGACGGTGGGAGTAACTGGGTAATTATGGTTTTATGAACCGAGTTTATAATGTAAATTTGCCTCCGTAAGGAGTTTCAAAGCTGACGTTTCGAGCGCTAGCCCTTCGTCTTTCGCTCGAACGAGGGGCTAACGCTCAAAACGTCAGCTTTGGAACCCTTTACGATGGCCAATTTACATTATCAAACTCAGTTCATAAACCCATAGTTACCAACAAGGTTGTAGCCTGGGAAAACGATGCGATTTAATTGCAAGTTCATTTCGGACACAAGAAGTAACATGTGCGTTATGTGGCGGGGTTGCGTCGAAATTTTACTGAAGGAAATGAAGAACCGGCATTGTAACTAAGAAAACAAACACAACGCAATCTGACGTTTACAAGCAAAACTGGGGCGAGGGAGGGAAGAGGTGAAAGAATATAACGGGAGATTGATCAGCTCACCTCACCAACTGCCAATTTTCCATAATACGTGGCTGTATATTTGGCACTAAAGAAAGACGAGCATTGAGATTAGCGGTCCGACTTCCCATGAACAATAAACCGAAGGAAACTTATAAGATACATGTATGATACAGCTGAAAATGTCGCAACAAAAAAAACCTCCTATAGTCGCCCATGTGCAGTGAGGTACAATAATCAAAATTGGAAAAAGCTTAGATATAATACAAGAACGAGAAGCCTGGAGATCTATCCATTTAGGCCCTCGTGCAGAAGAGAGAATGTGAGTCGTCACTAAACGAATCGAGAAGAAATTCTTCATATCTATGCTAGACAATGTATCTTTAGAGGAAAATTAAATGTCATTACATTGTGTCTGACGCATGAACTGGAGTCTCCTCGAATCCTGCCAGCTGCTGTGGAGCTTTGCCAAAATCGTTATCCTCCTCCGTGTAAGGATCAGCGGTTATTACAGTCATGCGCTCTGCTGATGGCGGGAAAAGCTGTCCAGTGGAGAGTTTGCCCTGTAAATGGAATGCAACCAAGTTTTAGGAAAATGTCAGAAGCAAATCAAAAGCTTTTATAATGATCGGTTACCTTCGAGTTCCGTTGAAAAATTTACGTCCATTTGAAGGGAATGACCAGGGTGAGACACTTTCCTCTCAAACATTTCTCTCCGCCCCGGAGTACAACTTGGTATTAGTAAACTCTCACGAAAACTTGTCAAAATGGATGAGGGGGAATGAGGGAGAAAAGGGCTTAGAGGAGAGGAGTATAACAATCCTATACATAACATGGCGCAACACTTCACCCTAAACGCGTCATGCAATAGAGTCCGAGATTCGCTCCAGTAGTAAAGGGCCAATGAGCCCCAGGGAAGGGGTGGAGTTCCTTTATAGGAGTTACAGTCTAGCCTCGTTCACCCCCAAATACATTTTATGAGTAATTCCATTTCACTTAACCTTATACTGAATCATTAATGAAACCCAATCGGTGTAACCCTGATTCTTACCTTTACGAATGTAAGCCTCGATTCTTACCTTTACGAACGTGCAAGAAACTGGCCTGCCAGTGTTTCGTTTAAGAAGATCAACAACCTTGAAAGGAAAAGAGCAGACAATTACACCCAGCAGCCCGTGAGAAAGTCCTCATGTTGGAAAATCGTTCACTAAAGTTAAAGTTAACTTGATTTTTTTCGCTGGACTCAAAGTTATGTTATGTATGGAGGGGTACTGGTAATCAATTTATATGGCTTACTAACCTTGCTTGCCGTAGTCTTGTGCAGGGCAATCCCTACCAGCTCGTCCAGGGTGTCGCCATATGCAATGCCAGCCTGAGGAAAAGGTCCATCAAAAAGTGCAAATTGCAACTCATTGAGTTGATCGGTCTTTTCTTTACTTCTCTCTTGGTTTTACAAGTCCACACGCACTGCAATATAGCGACGCGTGCGGACAAAAGGTCGGCTGAAGGACCACACCTAATTAAACTCAATGATGGAGACCCAATTTAAGACAACGTCTTTTATAGACCAGCTTGCACCAGAAAGAACCAGATAAAAGGGAATGAAAATGAAGAGATACTGATAACCACCTTGGAGTAAGAATGTTTCCTCTAGTGACAACATTGTCGACAAATAATACAACAAATGAATCAAAATTCGAAAATTGGCTTTCGCTTACATCTTCCGCAGCGCTGTTTTTCCTCACATGAGCCACCATGACTCTCCCGTTTACGGTTCTGCGAAAACCAAAACGAACAAGAATACTAACATCAACTTAGAGAGATTTGTGTGTCTAATGGCAATTCCAACAGGATCTTTTTTTAGGCTCTCATGATTAGTACTCTCCCTTAAGAGATTTTCCCCTTTGAAGATCTCATGCCTTTTTCTATCTCATGAAAATAAAAGTCGATTTCACGGGTGACTGTACTCCGTTTAGGAGTCATGAGTTATCGCCTCGGGGGAAGGGAGGGTCGGGGGACTTGGTTACGTTACAGTGAAATTTACCTGATCCTCTCTAAGGCTCTGTTGTATTCTCCCCCCTCATTGGCAGTCAATTTTCTATAGACTCCCCTTTATATTCTGCCAGCGACGACTGATCCCCCATCTGTCCCCCTCTTAAACCATATTTAAACCTTAAAATCCCCCGACCCTCTCCCCCTCAGGTGATAAATAATGAGTGGTCACTTGCACACAAAGATCCTCACATTCAGGCAATAGGAAGTGTCACTCACCTCACAATCAAACCGAGCTGTTTACAAGGTACGATATCAACATGCCTGAGAACCTGAATTTCGTTAGAAAGAAAGCACAAAGCTTAGTGATTTACAAAATGGGAAGGACTGAGTCGGTTGTGAAGACAAAAACAAGGAGAAATAAACTTACAGGAATCAACCATGTTTCATCCAGAAAACTGCAATTCTGCAAGAAGAGAAACAGGAGAAAACAAGATATTGAAATATTCGTCAAAATATTTATCACATACCTCATGCCACTGGAGGATAAACAAATGTAACTTTGTAATTCTGTGTTAAGTATCTCTCACAGATATAAAAACTCCATTACAGGTGAAGCTTTTGATATAGTTTTGACAGGATGGAGGACAGGGACTTATCTGTCTTCTCGTCCAATCACAACACAGCAAATTCACCCTCTTATTTCTCTTTCGCGTATGAATGATCCATTCGTCTTTTTATTTCAGTAGAAGTGTAGCTTGGTAGAACTAAGCCGAATTTCCCCTTCAACCTACCTTCAAGTCCAGGGTGAAGACATGTTCATTGACTTCTTTCAAGATTTCTAGCAGCATTTCTAAAGAAAGAAGATGTGCCAATTACGTTTATACTTTCTCTCTTTAAGAATACGCTTCAACATTTAAAATCTAAAGTTTAATACAACCTCTCATGACTTTATCTCGAACAACTGCAGAGTCGCTGTACCAGTACTGTAAAAATAAACAAAACAAGTAATCTTCAGTGACCTATCTACGTACGTGGGGCTGACAGAGACTTATTCTCCCCAGTCCAATAACAAAAGCAATAAATTCTAAATGATAGGGTCATCATGATTAGACTCTTGGTCGCGTCTTTTTTACAAAAATTTTTAAAACTACAGCTTTCCACGCAAAAGTGAAAACAAGAACCAACCGGAAACACACATGAGGGAATATTGGGACAACCTAGTCCGACTAGCCTCCCGTCGTTGTGGACCAGAATAAGCTCACTAAGTTCGAAAAATTAATGCTCGTTCCGTTTTTCTTTATTCTAATAAATCAAACCGCGGCAACCATAATACCTTGAGTATGGCTGAGTTGGCTAGACTCTGAACTGTGTACGGAAGAAGCCCCTTCATCAGAGCGAGGCGAATGAACTGTCGGCCATATCCCTGATATGAATTGATCTGTATGTACAGATGAAAACACATGACTCATACGTAATTATTATTAACTGATCACAATAATGAAAAGTAAAAACGAACTGAGAATAATTGGTAAAGGCGCTAAGGAAGTGAATAACGAAAGAGGACTTTTCGTTGTCTATTAGGCTAAGGGAGAAAATCACCATATCTCTTTGATGGCTCGGCATTGGAACGTTTAAGATAGAAAAGAGATACAATTTAAACCTGGGTTGAGAAAGGTCCTTGGAATAAAATTTTTTACCTTTTTGCATGATTTTACGAACGTTACCGTATGTATGTAAGCCAGCTTCTGCCTGAAAGTAATAACAACAACAATTAAATAATAATAATAATAATAATAATAATAATAAAATTAGATTAAAACAATATCGGAATAAAACAATGCATGAAATAAGAACGCCTTCTTGTGAGTATCGTTAAAAAAAAGAACAGAAGAAAATCATCAAAACACCCAATAAGAACAAAGACAAACATGATCAGAATCCACTGAGTGCTCAAAGGAAACACAAGCAAACTGACTCGGTCGTGGGAAAACGTGAATGACCGAGGGGAGACTTTCTGTTGATCAACTTCCCCACGCTTCTCTTTAAAATTTAAAGACAACAACAATTTTGTGTGGCTGAAAATGGGGAAGTGGGCGACAAAGTGCTAAATCAATATTTTTGCCCTATGGATCCCTGAAGTACTAGGAAAACAAAACCTACAACCCAAGAGGGATGCACACTATGGACGACGAAGAGAAGGGATCGGAGTTCGCCTCCTCTCAGGGCCACCGTGAGCATTCCTTGGCAAAGAGGAGGGAGTTGGGCCCCCCTCTCTGATCGGCGAGAGTTTGCAGTCTAGACCAATCCCAGAGGAAATCGTAACAAAATCAGATCAATTCTATTTTACTATCTACACTCAATTGAAGGTGTTGCATATACAGAATGTACCTATCATTGGGTAGGTAATCGATCAGCGCCTCTAACCAACACCAATAATCCCATTTTTTGAGACCGAAAACGGAACCTGAAAAGAACAGAATACAATTAGCTCATCAGTGTTATCAAAAGCCAAATTCTCGCCTTATCGATCCACTGAGAGAGCTACTCTAATTACAACTTGAGAAACTTTGAGGGAAAAACTGGTTTTTCCGAAACCTAGAACCAATCATTTAGAACTTAGCTTCTCCTATAGCGGGGCCACGTTATGGAATAACTTTCCCAATAGCTTACTTGTGTCGGATGTCGGATCTGTTGACCAATTAAGCGAAATCTGAAGAAGGTATCCAGCATATCAGATTCCCACACGGCAATCATTTAAAGCAGTTGTAAATAGTCTTATTTTTAAACTTGTAATACTCAACTGATGATTTTCCGTGTTTGAATAAAGCCTCCGGCGCTACTATTACTATTACTACCACTGCTACAGTACCCATGCATGCTCTTGACGAACACAAACGAAAAGCCCCCATCGAAAAGTAGGCTCTGTTTTACGGTTGAATGGATGACAAACGTGACAAAACTTTCGTCACACTTGAAATAGCAAGCGTAACTGGTATGCCCTGTACTATATAAATCAAAACAACTTTACTCTGTAATCATTATCACCATAATTACATGGATCACAAACTTCCCGAATGATACAAAGTGACATCTCAGTAGGCAAGCGAACATTCCTGCAGACATGTTCGTGTTCAACTATAAATCAGCCGGAATTGCATTAAACCAGGCCTCACGGTTGTAAAATACACAAGTTATAATTTCATATTTATTTGTGGGATCGTGTAGATATGTTTACGCGCCTTTGAACAAAATAAAGTATACGTGAGTAACGCTTTCAGCCCTATTTTGCTTCAGTAATGGTTGATTGCAAGGGGCTTCCCGCGATTGCAATTGTTTGAAAACACATCGTTTCCGCAACAGAGTAAAGAGAACATGTAAAAATCCAAAAAGTTTAATTCTGTGTATTGACAGAATACACGAAAAAATTACTTCAAGCAAACATCGAAACTTTAACAAAAATGGACTTAGTTCTGCAAGAGCGATCAACATCTGTGTGGATATAAGACGTTTTATAGCGCTCTTCCATGCTTGAAAGACCTGGCATACTTCCTACAACTGAATAAAACCACTCAACTCAACTCGACGCAAAAAAGCTGATACAAAGTTTGGCGTTGAACTCCAATTTGGAGATCGATTGACTTGGGGGGTCTACGGCACATTTTGCGAGTACAGCTGGTGGCGGAAATTTGCCCCCCCCCCCCCCCTTCGATGGGTAGTAATTTTAGGACCTCAACTTGCATAATGAATATGCATAAAGCTTTTACTTGTACAATGGTACAATATATGATTTGCCCGGAGCATTAAGAAACGTATGCCGCAAAATGCAACTCAAGACGTTAATGGACAACAGAAACTTAGAAGGATTGTTAATAGAAAGCAACGACAGCCAAACAACTAGCAAAGCCTAAAACCATGGGGAGTAATCTTACATTCAAAAGCGAATACGAAAAGTGTGGCGTTATTTAAATTCGGTGTCTTTCAACTTTAATGAGGCTTCATAGAATCAACTGGAAAGATAGTGGCAGTCAATTTTGAGTTGCGTAATATTTATAGACATCAAGCTGAAAAGGCAAAACACAGAGCTTTTTAGCGCTTTATTTCAATAGGTGAAAGTGCATTGTTCAAATAGAAGGTTTAGAGCTTTTCTTTCACGCGTGAAATATCAAGTAATCCTCTTGTACCTTAGGCTCTGAGATTAATTTTTACTTTTAGGGTATACGAGTTTAAAAATCTTAGATCGAATCCATGGGACACCGCAATAAGCAAGGGAACTTGTTTAAAGCACTTAGCAGGTGAATAGCAAATTTTCAAATCGCAAGGCAAAAAGGGCATCTCGGCATACGTTTCCTTGGAAGTTGCCGCCAAACTTCAGACTTGGCATTCAGTGAGTTAAATCAACCACGATGAAGCGAATTTCCAGAGGAAATTTGCATTTGTGAATCAAAACACGCAGATTTATCCTTATCTTTGGCATGCCTATCTTGACTAACACTTGAAATATAATTTACTTCGGGGGGTATTGGAACAATTTACAAATTTCATCAAAGGTACATTTTCTAAGAGAACAAAGGCATTAAATCAGCGAAATTGGTGATATTACAACACACTGTGAAACATAATGATAACTATTGAAGTCTTGTATTCTCAAGAGAACACTTCGAGGTCAAAACAAGAACTTTTTAAGTGCAACGGCTGTCTAAACCTCCGGCTAAAAGATGTTTCGACAACCGGCGTTATCTAATTTAGTTTTTAAGAACAAAGGAAAGGTGATTTGGAACTAAAATTAAGATGGTTATTGCATGTAGTGAAAAATTTGCTTAGCAGTAAACACCATGCTCTTTGATTTGATTTTCACCCTTTTGTTGTGGTACAATTTTCAACACAAAGTGTTGACAAACGGGGCGCCATTTCGATATTGAATATTACTGAATAAGATTCGCGAGAATGAATGGATTTCATTTCCACGAGGAAAGTTCATGATATTAATTTTTTGAGGCTTAATCGCCGACGTACTACTCGAGAAATACGCGTTATGGTGAATCGTTGCTTTTATAAAGAGCGATATCAAATTTTAAATCTTTCAGCGGTTAATCCAAATGTGCATATTTTTACAAAAATTAACAAACATTTCAAAACTCGCTCATGTGAATAGGTTTGAAAATAAAGTTGTAGGTTTCGCGGTAAAAACAAACTGTCAACGGGTTCTTGCGACACCTGCCAGCGAAGATGAAAAGATAAACTTTTCGGTAATGATTCAGTAATGAATGCATCGAGATTGATCCAAGGTCTTTCGTTAAAAGTATAGTTGAATCGATGAGAGACACGAATGCTAATCTTAGAATGCAAATTGTTAAAAAGCACGGGATATCTCCACGCTTGAATGAAGTCTCCATGTCAAAACGGACGAAAAAAAGCGAAACTCTGCCAATATTACAGTGATTTTGGAAAGATTGAAATTAAAGCTCGTTTACCGTGCGAGGACAAATTGTCAGTTAAATCATGATGCGGCGACGAAAAAGTATTTACATTCGTAGGACGAGGCAATCGAGCTCGCGATCACACACACACACAAACACACAATCACAATTATGATAATTTAGTAACCTATCTCTCTTTTCTACTTACTCTTCAGTCCAAATCTAAAAATCGCCTCTATGCCATCGCAGAGTGGAGCAAGCAGCACATTCTCGTCTCCAACTGGCTTGTTGATGGAACTTTCCAATCGAAACACAACACCTGAAAGAAGAAAAATCAAATTTTCTGTATGAAATTCGGGCGGGAAATCTTCAGCGCATCAGCGCAGCGACATGGTGTCTTACTTTTGAGACTGTTAAGACGAATTTCTGCTTGCAGAGCCGTCATCTGTTGACTGCAATGCTTACACACTTCCAATCATCCCCCACCCTTGTTGTTTTTCTCAGAAAATCAGCCACATTTTGGCGCTGATTTAGCTTGGCAAGAAATCCTTCGTTTCACTCCACAATCAATCCCGTAATTATTTTGATCACAACATGTCAATGGTCATTCGTTTGGAACGACTTCATAAATAAGTAATAACGTTAATCCCATCTTTCGACCAACCATGAATTTACCGTGCGAACCGCAGCATATTGACTGGGGAGCGACTTGAAATTCGCTGTAAAGAGATGCGAGATCGCACAAATCACGATTGAATTTTTTCAATAAACTTGTGTGGAATTCCAATACAGATCTTAGTTTGACACCTTCAAAGTTATGTGAGACTTTATACAAGTCCGGCAGCCGCCATTTCCGTTTAAATTTGTTTGTATTGAAGAAGCACCAAATAGAAAATTACAAATTCATCACTAAAGGAAACATCATTACTCAAAACCATGCACAGAATTGCATTATTTGCCTTGTTTTTTAATCGCATTACTTTCCTTCTGTTTTCAAAATAACTAGATCTTTGCGTATGAAAATAAAGATGACTACCTTGATTACGTCTGAGTTTATCGATCTTAGTGGAAAAATACAGTTTGAATTTAGACAAAATTAGAAAAAAATATGAGCTACCGAGACTTTCAAAGGATTAATCTTTCATCTCCCAGAAATAATTCACATGTAACTTCTTCCTAGAATTCCCATTTATCTACAGCAAACAGGTACTGAACAACAGACCGTCATTTTGATTGGTTCGTCAGCAAACTAATCCACCTGGAATGTAAACACAGGTTGGAGAACTCAAGGATAATGAAAGTCTTCAAATTACGACACGAGGAAAAGTTATTTACAAGCTTTCCCCTTGCTCATCCAACATCCAGGCGTAAGCAGTGCGATCTTCTGATTTAATCTTTAAAACTTTCATGAGTGACAAAGACAGAATTTCTCCGGCTTGCAATATCAATACAATATCAAGCAGACAAGTGATGAGAATAAAGAAAAGTATCAATGAGGGGATTATTAGTTGATCCAGTGCAAAACACTCTGGATTAACATCATAAGAATTGCATGGCCAGTTCGGAGAATTACCAACTAGATCTTGGAAGTGAAAGGGTCAAGTTAGTAATCGTAACAGCCAATCGGACCAAAGGAACGACTTCTCTGATCTTGACCAATCACAGAGCGAAATAAGGTGAAACCAAACTGGCAGTTCTGGATTACTTTTGACCCTCAGTTGAAAATTGCTCTTATGTCAACATGTTGGAGTCTACAATGGATTTCCCCGTACAATAATCGACAAGTTTTTGACCAATTAGAGCGTACGTAGGGTATTCAAGCTTTAGTACATAGAGAGCCTGTAAAATAACTTTTGTCTTAGTCTTACTAGAGTGTTATGCGCATTTGATCATAATTTTTAAAGTTCAAATGCGCAATAAAAGCAATAAAGTTATTATTAAAAGTTATTAATAATCTAACAAAGTTGCAGCAATTGTGAATTACCAGTCTTTATTACACGACTCGGGCAGTCAGGGCTAATAACTAAAATCAACCAATCAAAATGCTCTATTACCGGTCCAATATTCTCTAAGTATTGGACCGGGCACTGTCCCGAATGATACCGCACTTGTGTCCCTTTGAACTTCAGTCGTATAATAAATCTCTTATTAACCAAGCTTGCTCGAGACCGTACTGGAAGAATATCGGCCCTCGGTCTTTTTTGTACGGACCTCGCTGCGCTCGGTCCGTACTGTCCAGACCTCGGGCCGATATTCTCCCAGTACGGCCCTCGCGCTTGGCTAATAAGCTATATGTATATGTGCCCTACAATGCCACATTGTTACCGAGTTGTTTCTGACTTCTGAGCAAGTACGTTGCTTCCCAATGCACATGGAAGAGTACAGACTTAGACCTCCGAAAAACTAGTGAGGAAGAGGAAAATTGTGTGGCCAGCGCTATAATTTCGAAGTCTACCCAATACGAAAAACTGGATGAGAAAGTCATTTTGCATGTAAGTGCCATTTTAGGGCCGAAGTGTACAGGCAAGGTTCAGACAGAACCAAAAGACAAGGTTGCAATCAATGAGGGAGAATTTAATTTAGAAAAGAATAGCTCTTTCTGTTGTGAGGACTTTCCTAACGTACCCAGCGTTACATTCAATGTAAGCAGTGAATAGGTTTGCTTTAAATTGTATTATAACTCTGTGTGGTTAAAGTTGTTCATCTTTATGTGTTGGTCTTGCTTTATGAATATGCAGATTTAGAAAAATTTTACACACAGGTTTACAATCCTTTCCGAGCACTTGTAGTACACCTCTTTTTTCATTAGGTTGGTAAACTCACCCACCTGACCAGAATGAGGCGTTTTGGTTGTGTAACAACGACATGAATAACTAATAAGATTGAGAAGTATTATTTCACACTATTGCTCATTAACTATTGTGTTTAAACACTTTTGATTTTCCTTTCATCCCAGCCACATAATCATCCTTGGTTTTTTTTCTATCAGGTGTAAGGCAACCGCAAAAAAAAAAAAAAAAAAAAAAAAAAAAAAAAAAACACGTCTCTCTTTAAAACGCGGCTAGCGTAACTAACCAAATGTAAATGATCAAGTAGAAAAAATTTTCATTTGAGAAACCGACTGACAATTTTTAAGAAAGGAAGTACAAAACTTCATTCTTTTTTAATGCACGAAATAGAAGGATAGAGATTAAAACTCTTTGATTGGGTCATACTTTGTCAAATGGCCATAGTCCATCTTTCAAATTTTACAAATCTTGGTTGATCCTTGGATTTCAAATCGCTTAAGCTCCAGTGACCGGTTTTTCGCGTTTTACGGTATTGTGGTAATGACAAAGAAGCTTCTCCGTTTTTCCTCACGATAAAAGAAATGAATCGGTCAGGAAATTGCATAAATCAATTCATTGTTGGCTATAACCTTGACATGAAGTCTGTAATCAGATTCGACTTCTTTTCACTGCAAGGAATATTAAATGCACTGCAATGTAATTATCGAGCACAAACGAGGGAAAAAAAGTCAGCCAAAGTTTAAGGAACCTATCCTCGCGAGGAAAGTCTTCTAGTTTCGTACCTAACTTGTAACCTGAAGTAATTTTAAGAAATAAAAAGTTTTAATTCGCATCAGCGGTACCGTTCTGATTGAGATACAATGATCGAACATTATTATCCAACTACACTTCGTAGAGTACAAATAACGCCCTACGGGCTCGTCAAAATACGGCACAACTCGTAAAAATACTCAGCGATACTACACAACAAAACGTCTAATAAGATATATATTATTTACCACATTAGTCAGTTCTGTAATCACTCAAAGAGATCAAACCGCGTTCAATCATTATCAACCAAATAATTCGAAAGCTTGTGGCTACAGAGGATACTCTTTGAAACGATGATCTTAAAAATATTTTGACTGGACAAACTTTACGTAAAATTTAAAACATCGGTTTAATTTAAGTCTGAACAGGTGTTTTAGGGTTTGCATTCAAAAACAGGTCCACAAAAAAGGATCAAAATAAGCATTAGAATTGAAATTATTTAATTAAATCGGCACTTTGGTGCCTTGGACTACGAAAATAGCTTAGACGGCATGAAAAACAAGAAAAAAAGAGTAATTTTTTACAGTACTTTCCTCATAAATTTGGCTCAAGTCGATCGCACGTGGGCGTCTATTAGGACCATTGCTTTATTTCCGTTTGCAGGTTTTGTTTTTTTACCGGAAAATTCCCACAATTACGTTGGTATTAATTGAATATATTGGAAATGTCCGGATCGACTGACAAGTAAAGCGCTAGGTAGGTTTTACGAACTTGTTTACGGCTACTTTTCGATAATTAATCAGAAAAAAAATTCGATTCAAGTGACAACGCGTTCCCTTGTCAATTAGGAAGTCTTCAAATATGTCCTCACGTTTCATGATCTCTATCTTGGAGACGATTGCCCTCTGTGCCATAAGTTTGGCTGCGTTTATCGGTAACTTCAGCTTATTCATCATCGTCTACAAGGACAAAAATCTTCAAACCGTCACTAACTTGTATATTCTGAATCTGGCCGTGGCCGACATCTTGGTGTCAATTTTAAGCATTCCATTTACCATAGTGACTATCATCGAAGACCGTTGGGCGTTTGGAGACACCGCTTGCGTTGCGCTCGGCTTTTTCACGATTTTATCCTTCATTTCGTCGGTGATGTCTCTTGGCATGATCGCTATCAACCGATATTTCTACATCGTCAGATGGAACTCTTACCACCGAACCTTCTCCAGAAGAAACGCCCTGCTCTATGCCGCCGCTGTTTGGGTAGTCGCGACATCTTTGGCTTTTCCTCCGCTTATAGGCTGGGCAGAATATCGTTTCATCCCCGGAAAATCGTACTGTTTCGTTTACTGGCCTTCAAATGTGCACTTCATGTATTTCATGATCACTGTCTGCTTTTTTGGGCCGCTTTCAGCGATAACCTTCTCGTATTATAACCTTTTAAAGTTTACAAGAGACATGAAAAGGCAACTTGCGAAGTCAATTAATATCACGCCGCCGCCACCAGTTCGTTGTTTCAACCCTCCAACAGCTACTGAACATGGAAACAACGCCCTACATATCGACACCAACATTGAGAAGCAACCAAAGATCAATGTCTTGAAAAAGAATAAATCAGGTTTTATTTCAAAATCACTGGAGTCTTCTGTGACACCAGAAGAAACGAAGATAACAAACACATTTCTGTACGTAGTCACCCTGTTTGTTATTTGCTGGGCACCATTTGCCGTGACCATGTTCTTTGATGTGTATTATCCAACGCCTATACCACGCGCACTTGACATGGCCTCCTTAATACTCGGTTATCTGAACAGTATGTGTAATCCAGTACTCTACGGGCTGCGTAACTCGGCTTTCAAACAGGGATTTCTGAGTCTGTACTCGAGATTTCTACCCGCACGGTTCAGACCAACAGATGTGACATAGCTGGAAATGAACCCGTGACTATTTAAATGTATGAAATTTTGCATAACCGTGATTTCAAATTGGGAGTACTTGTACCCAACTTTCAAATGTCAAACTCCTCTTTATGGAAAAAGTTGGGAAATAATGAACCTAACTTGCCTCTTTCGCTCTTCGAAGGGCTAACGCTCGAAATGTCAGCGCGTAAGCCTAAGTAACTCATTACGGTGACTGATTTGTATCCGTCAAATCAGTTTATAAAACCAAATTATCTAACTTGCCTCGGTTAGTCCCAATCAATGCATTGGTGACTTAAATGTAAAATTATAATTATTGTAATTAAGCAAATGATCATTAATTTTAAAACTGTCAGAAAGATGGACTGAATGACTTATAAATGAGTAAACGAACTGTCAAATACTCTCTTGACTTTTTAATGTGAGCAATGTGTTAAATGTGTCTCAGTCCCTCGCCGTAGGTTATCTGGTTCAAGGACGAATTCAAGAACGTAAGTTGGCCCATTGCCTTTTACATGGTAAACATGGAAGTAGCCATGAAAAATTTACAAAAGGTGATAAGTAGGGTAAACCAATGCACATTTTGTTTTCGACAGAAAATTTTATCACTTCACCAAACTGAGATCTGATTTTTGTACCGTTGATAGCAAGACATATCCTAATGTACACCAGAGATGTGATAATACATCCAGCAGCTGTATATAGGCGGATTCATGTTGACGTCATTGTTTACATTTTTGCTCATTTGCATACGGCTTTGCGTAAAGAAGGAAGCATGTAAGATACAAATTGACTTCAGGCAGCTAAAGAGCTAGAAAACCTTAGTGCATGGTGAAATTTGTAGCTCTTTGAGTGTAATATTCAAGGAGAAATAGTCCATCAAAAACTGCAAAGTTTCTGGGTGGCAAAAGCGCTAATGAGCTCATACATTCTATGTAAAATTTTGAGTTTTTAAACCCGTGTTGCACAAAAAGTATTCAATGCATCAGGCTCGTATTCATTGGCCGAGTTAATCGTACTTTGACCTTTCGATATTCAGAACTGATTTATTTTTAGCTCCATCAGAAACTGAATTGCTTATGCTAATGAGGCAAATATTGTAAACAAGGATTCCCCTATACCAGCGGAAATAAAAACATCATGAATAATGAGAGAAACCCACAAATCGCCAAAAAAATTAAAAGTACCATTATGACTTGCATAAAAAATGGAGTATCCAGAAGTAAGGAAGGGAGTTCTGAACAAAAAATGTTCCACGATTCTCCGCTGCCCAGAGAAACAATTCTTTCAATTTAAAAACATATAAGCCAATGTCAAAAGGAAGAAGTGAAGTTTCTAGCTTCAGCTTACACGATTTTTTGACGAGTCGCAGCTTTTGGTGCGGCGCTTCCACTCATGTAGCTACCCATCTTTCGGAATAAAAAAAACTCACGTGCTTGTAAACGCCTTTCTAATAATCTTGTATAGGTTTTAATTGGAAAGCTTTTCGAAAGCCGTGACCAATGGAAAGTAATGAATGGCTATCTGGCGTTCTATACAGAATATATAAAGAAATGACATCGCTATCGCTTCCTTCTGTAGAGACCAAAGTCATTCGTATTAGCATTTCACAATGCAAAATCAATTTAGCAACAATGTTCATGTTAAGAAAGAAGTCCGACAATAACTGCTATATGAAGCTATTACAAAAGTTCTTAGCTGTTTCATTATTAGCTTGTCCGAACGTTAAAAATCGGGACATCTGTCAAAATAGATCTATAAACTTGAAAATTTTTGTCTAACTTTTTAAAATCTAAAACACTGAGGCTATATCAAAACGCGAAAATCTTGACAATACCTGCATCTCAGTGAACTGAGGCAATCAAACAAAAAATTATTCTGAAAATGAAATTCTCCCTCTCATGTTCAGGTCGGAAAAAATCGGCGCCCGTGTGAAGACTATTTAAGAAGTATTTGAATGAAGGTCACCATAGCTTAAGTAACCTTCCAATCTTTCCCTCATGAACTATCGTTTTCTTTACAATTTGTCAGAAAAGAAACTCGTTTATTACAATTGAAATTGAATACTAAGTAGAATAGCCTCGATGAACCTTGTAACGTATAAGAATAGCCTCGATGAACCTTATAACGTGTAAGAATAGGCTCGATATTTTGCAATCCATGATCGAAGTCCGTAGTGTGTTTACTGAACCAAATAAGGAGAAAGAACGTGATATTTTGTAATAATAGCTTAACTTAGGTGCGTTACATCATTGTGAACTCGTACACGTGATTCCTGGAAAATTACTGCCTCGTGTGGCAGAAAACGTCTGTAAAACGCTCCGACGAAGGGCTGACACTCGAAACGTCAGCTTTTGTAATCGTTACAGTGGCCAATTTACCACTTCAACTTTGTTGATATATCCAAGTTATTTCGTTACTCCCACCGACGCAGCCCCAAAGAGTTTCTTTCGAAACTATCCGCCTTCATTTATTAAAATAAAATGGTCAAAACTTTCGGTCTTACTACAGGCAAGGACCATCACTGATTTGGTTTCCATATACAGCCTGATGATGAGAAACATAGCAGCACTGATCGACAAAACTTTGTCGATTCATGCACATTTTCATCTTACCTAAGATCGTTTTACATGACATAGGTTCTATTGTTTTCATCATTTATTTATTTAATTAATACTACGGTATTTTGTACCATAATGACAAATTTTCAAGGACAAGCGATTACTTAAACAAACTGTATTTGTCATATTCAACATGCAGGAATTCAACGCAGTTTTTAGGTGTGGGATGTAAGGTATGGATTACGCTGTAGCGGTGAGTGTTATCAGCCTCAGCATTCGGCTTCGGCTGAAAACACTTACCTCGACCTTGATTATTCCGGATATCAAAAAAACCTCATCCAACAATTGTTTATAGCTGAAAGCGAATAACCGAGAAACCGCCCGAAACAAAGTTCCTTGACTAAAAATTTCAAATAAACTAAGGAGCGATGTCGTGGCACACCTTTTAAAATGTATTTATAACCCATAATTCCCTATCATAGAATAATTGGAACAAACTCTACGTTTCAAGTTTCCGTTTCTTTTGAACGATTTTTTTTAATTCCTTGTTTTGTTTACAACTCCAATTGCACAATTGTTTTTGAGGCATCATGATGCTAAGTGAGAAACAAAATTTTGGATTTTTCGCCTTTACTCCGCAGAAAGGGCTGCGCACAGTCTTCCTTTTGACTTTGACTTGGTTTGAATTCATTCAACATTCACGGCTGAATGAAAACAAGAAACAGCTGATGTTTTCGTCTAGGAGAGTTTAACTTGTTCAAGATATTCCTCGAAGCAATGGCATGTGTTTTACTTTTAAAATGTTAATGTGCTTCCTATTTAAAGTCTACAACTGATCATTCAAAATTCTAATGGAGTCCAAACGGCTGAGGACGATTTGGTTAGGATAGCTTCACTCCTTGAGCGGAGAAATTCGTGGCAAAAGCCTAAACAGTCTGGAAATAAGAATAGAAATGTATTCAGACTATCTAGCTTCTCCCTTAAGAGAGAAAATTTTTCCATTGGGTAGTTCGCTGCAATAAACCAAGGACAGCCCGCAATTAGCCGAAAGTTTGAAGTTTAACCGAAGTTCTCTTTCTTACTGGCAGTAATATTCATCGTATCTGACAGTTTCGTATCATCAAGTCTCAAAGTTCTAACTACACTCCCCTTTGAGTCTGTCGCCTATGCGGCTACCCGTAAAAGCCAAGGCACAAGTACACACTATTCTTGTAATTTAAACACTAAGCTTCAATTAGCAACAACTTACGATAAAACCAAGACTACATACTAACTACAGTATTAACGCGAGGTACGGAATCTGGCCCATGGTATGTTTCTCATTATATCCATGATGGCGAGTCGAATTTGTCTCATCTTCCAGCAGTAAATTACAGGGCTAAGAGATGAATTCAGAAATACGAGAGTCATTGAAAAGAGAACAAATGTTTTTAGAGTGATATTTGAGCCATCAATTCCAATAATAAGCAAGCAAATGCCAAAAGGCAAATAAGAAACTAAAAACACGAGGTACACATAGAATACACCAACTGTAGATTTCATGAGACTTGCAAACTTTGCTCTATTACCAGATTGAGAACTTTCATTCCCTCGCAAGGTCTGAATCTGATTCTTGTGCCGTTGGACTATTAAATAAATCCTGATGTACACTAAAATAGTGACAACGAAACCACAGGCTCCAATAACTGAAAAAATAAGACTATGAGTATTGGAAGAGACCCAAAGCATCATCAAAGAGACAAATACACTAAACACCCATATTAAGATCACCACAACAACAACACGTTTATGAGTCACAAGTTCCTGGTAACTGAGATGAAGACGAACCGCTAAGAACCTGTCTACACTTACAGAAACAACACCGAGGAAGGAGGCGAGCGAAAATAAGGCACCGGAAATCGTGAGCCAACGGTAAGCGTTACAGCTTGGAACTCTCAGTTTTAAACAGCTGACAAGAAATGACACGTAAGTTGGTTGACTCACCAAACCAATCCCAACATCAGAAATGGCGAGACTCGTCAGTAACGTTTTTAAAGTTTTTGGTAGGGTCGAAGTCTTCCTTATTGCGCAGATTGTTACAATATTCAACATGATGGCGGAGAATGTTAAAAAACCGTTGAAGATACAGTTGGCGATGAAAGTTCTTCGAAGATCAACAAAGTCGGTGCTGGAAGGAAAATACCGATAAGGCTCGTTGCAAAACGATTCGATCATGATATTAACTCGCGTATCTTGATTAATAGAAGGGAGCTTCAGTGTAAGAAATTTCTTCTAAATTCAGTGTCGGACTGTGGATCTCCTTTCTGGCGTTAATTCGTGGAGGGAAACTGATAAAAACATCCGCTTTTCCAGCTGTAGCTCATCTGTCTCAATAAAAGGGAAGTCACCGTTCAAAACGTAAGTGACAGTTCGACATCATAAAAACGCAGCGGTAAACCCAATATCCATTTATTATTAATAACGAGCTAGGGAGAGAATTTTAGACGTTTACCACAAATGAAGGCCTATCAATTAAGATTCAATAGGAAAGAAAATTGGAGCATTCATAAATATAAATTTCAGTATGGAAATGAGAATAAATGAAAGCATAACAGCGATATTCTTGAGATTTTCAGACTGCAGAAACTAAAATTGTGTATATCACTACTCTGATGAATTAGGTTTCCTGTTATGAA